AGCAGCAGCAACACCAGTAGTAGTAGCAGCAGCAGCAGCAGCAGCAGCAGCAGCACAGGTTACATTGAGGAGACAAGTTGTCGTGAAAATATGTGACATTCAACTACTGCTCCAGATGTTGTACATAGGAATACACTATTTCCACATTATTTTTCAGGTGTTTTTTATTCTTAGTGTGGCTGTGTCGGATTCTGACTGTTAACAACAACACAATAGATTGTACATGTTGTGCCTCCAAGATGCTGCTGCAACAGACTTTGCACAAAGGCAACAAGTGAAAAACTTACATTTACATCAGTCTTACACAAAAATAACATCTAATGATGAGCTACAATACAAATAATTGAAGTACTAAAAAAAATGTAGTTACTAAAAAGTAACTAAATCATAATAGATAGTAAAAATTAAAATAAAACATTAAATTCAATATTTTTGGACCCAAAGAGCTCATTTCTAGCCAAAATGCAGGGCTAAAGCCAAAGGTATGGAAGTGTATACATTTTCCATCCATAGTTCTGTGGCTGAAACGTCAGTCAAATGTGTGACGCTGACCTCCTGTGGTTACAGTCCAACATAAAACAAAATAAAGTTGGTAATGATAAACAGACAGTGACAGGAAGAAGAGGGAGGGAAAGGTGGAGTCGGAGGGAGGGAGAGAGAAGACTGATGAAGGGAGAGGAGCTGGGGGGGGGGCAGATGAAGGGTGGAGGGTGATGTCAGTGCACTGGGGCTGTCATACCATCCACATTTCTGTCTGATTAATCACGCAATATGTGGGGATTAATTACAGTTAATCATGATAATTGGTAATTGCATTTTTATCATGATTAATCACAATGTAATTAATTAAATTATAAGTCCCACAAAAACAACAAAAATAGATTTTGTCGTTTTGTATTTTCACATGAAAATGAACAACACTGACAATGTATTATTTTCTTCTTTAACCCCCACATACATCAACAACAGCAAGGTTTTCACATTTTCTATTAAAATCCATTTGTCCCTGTGTTTAAGTGATGTCCTCTGGTCTGTGTCAGTCCTATTAAACTCCACAGTTTGACTCACTCCCAGAGGGAGACACACATGTACATGTATATAATAGTATACAGTGTCTGGAGGCACAGTCTTTACCCTGAGGTTAGGTCCACACATGTACAATACTGCTGCTGCTGCTGCTGCTGCTTCTGCTGCTGCTGCTGCTGCTGCTTCTGCTGCTGCTGCTGCTGCTGCTTCTGCTGCTGCTGCTGCTGCTGCTTCTGCTGCTGCTGCTGCTGCTGCTTCTGCTGCTGCTGCTGCTGCTGCTTCTGCTGCTGCTGCTGCTGCTGCTTCTGCTGCTGCTGCTGCTGCTGCTGGTGCTGCTGCTGCTGCTGCT